GGGAAATATGGTTTTATGTAATTTTTTGGAATATTTCTGTCATAAAATGTGTAATAACTTTGCCATCGAAAGTTAGAATAGTACCAAAATCCCCTCACATATAATTGAGCTCCTTTTGTTTATACTACAACAATTATTTGTGGAAAATATGTTTTAATGTAATTCTTATGAATTTTATAGACATAAAATATGTCATGTATGTTCTGTTAATTACTTATTGACATGGGAACCGCGAATCTGTGAATAACTTTACCTAACTGGGTATTGGCAGGTACCGTTGTCCAAGCGCGCTCACGAGATGTCAGCATTTATTACACCGTCGGGATTATATTCCTACACTGTTATGCCGTTTGGTTTGAGAAATGCTCCCGCGACGTTTCAGCGGCTGATGAACCGTGCAGTGTCCAGTTTGGATGGCTGCTCAGTTTATTTGGATGACGTGGTTGTTTACAGCGACACTTGGCATTCCCATTTGCAGCGCGTCCGGGCGTTGTTTGAATGGTTAGCAGAGGCGCGGCTCACCATTAATTTAGCCAAGTGTGAGTTTGCTAGGGCCACTGTTACTTATTTGGGGCGCGTTGTGGGACTGGGTCGGGTGGCCTAGTCCAAACTAAAGTTCAGGCCGTTCAGGAGTTTCCACATCCTACGACGAAAAAAAGAGTTGCAGCGGTTTTTGGGTCTGGTGGGCTATTTTCGATCTTTTTGCAAGAATTTTTTCCACCATAGTCTTCCCCCTTACTGAGCTTCTGAAGGCCAAGGCGCAGTTTGTGTGGTCCTCAGAATGTCAGCAGGCCTTTGAAAATGTTAAGTCCTTGCTATGCTCTTCTCCTGTTCTGGCAGCTCCGCGTTTTGACCATAGACTGTATAAAAGATGGACGTAGCAACCGGCCCTGAAAAATTAAGCCAACCCGGAAGTGTCAAAAAACCTTTGTCCGCTTGCTGCTGGCTCCAAAAAGCCCTGGATCCCATAGACTTAAATTGGAAAAGAAGTGATCACAGATCATGAAATACTGCATTCCTACAGCTCAGGATTTTTTTCTAATTAGTTTTCATAGTCACATTCAGAGATCAGGTGGCCAATCTGAAAATAAATCAATACTGAATTTTTAAAAAATCATCAACATTTTGCGGGGCAAGGGGCGTGGCTGGCTTGATTGACAGTC